AGTAATAATACACTGAGTTCGAATCAATACACTTTGGGGAAAATACGTATATACTTTATAGGTGGGAGGGGGAGAATACAAACGTCGAAGGATAAACACATTTTTTTTTTTTTTATCGTTCACTCAAATAAGAAATGTTTAAAATATGGGAGTATACAATAAAGGATTTAATTAGAAAATTTCCACACATTACATATTAAGTATTATGACAGAAGTTTGCTAAAATTTTCATTATCTTACATGCTTTAAATTTACCTACATAGCACAAACACACTCGCGGGATAAGCGCACACCCTCGGGACATCCCGGAATATCCCCGAACCTTCTAAACACATTCTTCTGAGTGCTTAATGTCACATCTCAGTATATCCTCAGGACATCCTTAAATCCCCTTCGACATCGTATCGGTTGTTATCAGGATCTGAACTCCGACTTACTACATCCTCAGGACATCCAAATAGCCTCCTTAACACATCCCATTATATCCTCAGAACATCCTACCTAGGTTCCCATCGACAGCGTTTGGGATGTTATTAGGATTTAAAGTCTTATTACATCTTCAGGACATCCTCCTAAACTCATCCTCCCAAGTGTTTAATGTCACATCCCAGTATATCCTTAAGACATCCTATCTAAGTCCCATCGGTAGCATATGTTATGTTTCATAATTTGAAATACTAGTTACTATATCCCGGAATATCCCTTTAACATCCTAAATACATACTCTCGACTGCTTAACTTAATACAATATGTTATTGAAGAAGTAGGAAGAAAAAATATTAAAAACAATAGTTTCAAATGAATTATTATCTATGTTTGTCTTCAGTAGAAATGCATGTAACATAAACACGATGTGCACTTTAATACATACACATAAACACAATACACTAAAATGAAAGATAAACATAGTGCTTCGGATAACCGTAAAAACACGAAATAATAACAGATTTTTCGTTATCAGTCGTTAAGATGTTCGGTTACGAGAACCACGTCTAATAACTTAAAATAAATACACACGCAATAACAAGATATATTACAGGATATGACAATTGAGTCAAATAATACACATAACAACATTAGATACGAATATTGATGTAAATTCACTTCCTCATTTATAATAATACTCCTATAAACAATTCACACAGCCATACCCCCCCCCCCCCCACCCCCCACCACCCCCCCCCCCCCCCCCCCCCCCCCCCCCCCCCCCCCCCCCCCCCCCCCCCCCCCCCCCCCCCCCCCCCCCCCCCCCCCCCCCCCCCCCCCCCCCCCCCCCCCCCCCACCCCCCCCCCCCCCCCCCCCCCCCCCCCCCCCCCCCCCCCCCCCCCCCCCCCCCCCCCCCCCCCCCCCCCCCCCCCCCCCCCCCCCCCCCCCCCCCCCCCCCCACCCCCCCCCCCCCCCCCCCCCCCCCCCCCCCCCCCCACCCCCCCCCCCCCCCCCCCCCCCCCCCCCCCCCCCCCCCCCCCCCCCCCCCCCCCCCCCCCCCCCCCCCCACCCCCCCCCCCCCCCCCCCCCCCCCCCCCCCCCCCCCCCCCCCCCCCCCCCCCCCCCCCTGTTCTGAATACAGTTTTAAGTTTTACAACAGTTCTGGTAAGAGTTTCGCAAAAGATGCATGTTTTTTATTTTCATTTTGTTTTAACAAGATTTTTAATTTTTTTAATTTTCATTTTGTTTTACCAGTAATTTTCTAAATCGTTTCATGCATTAGTTACGCTTGGTTTTTAACAATAAAAATTACTATTTATTTATTTATTAGAAATTTAATTGGATAAATTTTGCTATTCTTATTATTTATATTTGCCTTTCTTTAACAGCAATAAAATACTAATATAGAAATTCCAATAAAATATATTTTAACATTTTTTTGTCAAAAAGTCCTTATTTTAGTTTCCTTGGAAAACGATCAGAAAATTAGTAGAAAAAGCGTTACATGAAACTTTTAGCAGTCCTTTAATTGATCCGATTTTTGCATTCAGTATGTACTCAAATATAATTCAAGGTATAATTCAATCATTATATAAATAAAATATTTTAATAATAAATGGCTGTTTTAGTTTGATTAGTCTATGGTAAACTTTGTGATTAAATAATAAATCTGTTTTATATCTGACATTTAAAGCTGTTGAAGAAAGGCAAAGAGAAAAGTTAAAAATTAAAAGAACCGTTTAAGATAAATTCAGAATTAAACTTTTAAACTGATATTCAATATTTAACTGATGACCCTTTTTCAGAAATTTGTTTATTCTTTAACCCTTTGACCATGAATTTTTTTAAAAACATTACTCCGTTTTCTTTCCAACTGAACAAAATATGTCATAAAATAAGGTAAATTTAGCATTTGAGATTTTTTTTGACAAACGCTTTTCCAGCCAAAGCCTGGGACACATATGTCCCAGCCGTAGTTAATGGTGGGATACATATGTCCCACAGGCATGCGATCAACTCAATATAAGCACACCTATTATTCTGGAAAAGTGTTATATGAATTAGATTTTACACCGTATGGTACAGGGTAAAAAGCATTCTTTGCATAACCCAACAATTACAAATTTGGGAAAGTCATATTTGTTCGTTTCTCGATGTTCATTGGTGTACAACGAGCATAGCGGCGTCTTGATTTTCCAACTATTGGAAGATGATCCCCGACATTCAGGAGATTCTAAGTACTTTTTAATTCAGCAGTAATTTCTAGAATTTTAGCGGGAAATATACTGACAGTCCCGTTAGTAGTCAAAGGGATAATGTTATCTTTCATAGGTCAATTAACTTGGAAAATGCTTTCAGATAATGACATTGGAATTTCTATATTAGTTTTATATTTACCAGATTTAGAAATATAATTTTCGTGAGCAGAGCTTATGACATGGAATATATGAAGCCATAAAACATTTGCGAAACTCGCAAGAACGAAGTTGGCATATGACATATTTCATTTTCTTTTCATGACATTTTCGACGCGCAGGAGAAAAGCTATACTGACAGTACATTTTTCTACTTTTAAAAACAAATTACATTTTACAATAATTGTGAGCTATTTAAAAATTGAATATCAGATGGTTTCACAAGATAAAATATACACAGATGTTAATGGAATGTGGTACAGATTTGATGAATTTTTTTAAAAAATACATTATAAAAGTTTTATAAAAAAAACGAAATAAGATAATGGTATAAATTCAAAACATTATTTAAATATATGGGAAAAATTAACTCCTTAATTAATAGTTAAATTTTTGGTTTATTGTCGTTGTTAAGTTTTTAAAAACAGAACTTTATGCAAGTAAAATAACTAAAACTATTGAATGCATTTTAATAATAACGTAAGTGTTATTGTTATGCACTTAAACTGCCGATAAAATGCAACACTAGACATTTTATATACAATTTACAAATTACAGAACATTACTATTTTACTTCAAGAAGCTCTTTTTACTTCATACAAAATTAAAAAAAATTAATTTAAAATTAAAGAAAATTAATTATTACTGAGTGAGGATTAAAGAAAATTGTCGAGATTTTAAAAATCTAAAAAAATTAAGCACTTTTCATTAATATAAAAAGCAAAAAATTACAACTTGGAGAAAAAGAGATTAAATTAGAACATTAATTTTCAATCTAATTATTAAATTCTTTCATCCATTTTCTGGATAGTGTTTTCTTTGGATAATGGGGCGGGGAACCTCTCTGTTTTTCATTAATTATATCTATTAATTGATATTATTAGGCAAAATTTGAAAAGTTTATATTTCGATACAAATAAAAATATATCGCGATTAGAACAGATTTTAAGATTTTTACTCTTCTTTAATCTACTATTATAAGTATTAATTAAAAAAGGAACTTTTCTAAATCTATTTTACATTCTAATTTTTATTTTTAAAGGTTTCAGAAAACTTTTTTATAACTATGTGAAATGTAATAATTTATACATAAATAAACGAAATCTTTCGCCTTCACAGCGTAAAAGAACACGAATCCATTAATATTCATCATAAAATTTCTTCTGTGAATTTATTTATTTGAAATTTAAATGTGATTAGTCAACGTTCATGTATACCTCAGATTTACATTCAGTGCTTGTAAAATTAATCAAATATCTAATTATACACAGTTTCTTTGTAAACCACTCATCACCATCATTGTATAACCCAAATTTAGAACTACTATAAACTGTGATATATAGAACTTGTTTATGTTGAGAATTTTTTATCTACTTTTTAATACAAAATGCATTGTAAAAACATCACTTCTCAAAAATGCTATTACAAATCTTTCAACTAATTAAGTATTTTTAAATTAGAAACTCCTCATTAATTATTAAAAAATCTTGTGCAGTACGAATTCCTGTATCCTACATTACTGTACATTTTACTTCAAGGATATTCCTTTGGAATAATAGAAAAAGAAGAAACACGATTATTAATATAATTTGCAGTTAATGCGACTTGAAAGTCTATTAACAGGTTCAGGTTGATCTAGTTGACATACTTTTAAAACAATTAGTAAGAGAAGTTTTAAGAGAAAATTAGTAATTAAGAGTAAGTGAGGTTTACGTAATTTACTTTGTATTGAAGAGACAGGTATTAACTTCAGTTGTGTACTTTTAGTTGTTAGGTTACTAATATACTTCTGTCGTATTTTACCTTTCTGTGCCGTTATAGTACAATAATACACAGAAAAGAATTTAAATATTTTATTTTCTACTGAATTTTGGTGAGGGTTAAAATTTACAGAAGGAAAAGAAAAACCTAGCAGAAAAGAGGTTAAAACGAAAATGATGTTAAGATAAACAGAGCAAGCATTAAGTAAGAAATCTTTTATCTATCACCAAAAGAAAAATTATTTAAATCTGAATTAAACCCGAAAAATAACTTAAAATTTAACGAATTTAACCAACTGAATTAAACCCAAAAAATAATTTAAAATTTAAACTGAAAAATAATTTAAAGCAAATTGTTTATTTATTTATTTTATTAAATTATTTATTTTTCTCAAATTTATCACATGAAATTATTTTAAATTATTGTGTAGTGACAAACTATTGTCAAATTACTTAAAATTATGACAAATTATTTAAAAATTAACTTCCGTGAAATAAAGGGAAAAAACAATTCCATCTTTACATTTATCTCAATCTGAAATAAAATTTAAGATGAATATTTTAATTCATATGCAATTATTTTATCCCTTGTTGAAAAGTAACACATCACTTTTAAAGGCTGACTAGATAGGAGTTACTCCAAATATAAGTAACATGAATTATATTTAATTACTCACTAGAATCTGCATATGAATCTTGTGCTTTTTTTGTTATATACACATTTAGATACTGATACAGTAGAGACATACAGAGCTTTTCGTACTGCACATAAAATGTCGAAATTTATTCTATTACAGTTTAAAATTTTTTGAGGGTGATATTCAGAAGTATAAATATTAAAGTTGCTGTATTTTTACTGAAAAACGGGTAAATAGAAACATAGGAAAATATTTCAAAAGTTGGAAAAAATTATTTGAAAAACTTGCAAAAACGTAACACGGTGCAAACATCGAACGTAGAATTCTGCTGCTTTACAAACGATAATTCGCACCATTTATCGATTCAGCGTATCAAAAAAGATCACATAATGACAGAAGACAGCTACAACTGCATCTAACAGAAGATAAAATATCTTCCACGTTATTCATCATGAAAATACATCATTTAAATAATACATCTCGTGAATCAATAATTTACAACCATCGATGCGATCTACCAAGTATGAAAAACACTTTTCCATGAGATTTCTGAATGTGATATCCGATGCCAAAAAATTTCATCTTCCTCACATTAATATGTTCATCTCGTCCGGAAGCTACAGTCCGTGGATACAGTACTCATTGTGGAGCAGGATGAAACAAATATATTTACAGCTGAATTGATTCTTAATACATCCATGCAGACTCACTATTTGTATTTACATTTTCTCCTGGGCATAATTAAAGAATTTCAAATTAGTTTCTTATTATTTTGTAACAAATATTTCTTCATCAAGACCGAATGACCTTGCTGCAAGGTTACAAAAATGAATAATGACCATCGATATCCTTGCAACAAGTGATAGAAAAATTATTTATGTACAGATACTTTACACCAGTATTTGGCACTTCCGTTATTACAAACTGAGATACACTTCAGCTGTTAACTCTACAAAAAAATCTCTTTTCATTATTGCATTGAGTTTCAAAATTTAGCTGTACAGACCATTCTGACTTAAATCGACTGACATATATCAACAACATCTTGATCTAAGTCAAAAAGGTTACAGTTATGCTCCTTTACATGGCAATAAAACATATATTCTAATTTTATTCGGTCTTCCGTTTTTTAACAAAGGTGTCATAAATACCTCGCTTATAAAATTTTATGGGTTAGAAATGTGTTTCAACTACCAATCAGTCAGTCCACTCTTAAGCTAATATACAACACACATATTTGGTTATCCAAGAAGATGGCAAATTAGAACCCCATTGCAATTTAATCAGTTCATTACTCGCGACAATAAATAGTACTATATCCACGCAAAACGAAGAAAGATCTGTAACCACTCGCATTGCAAATACTGCAGGTAAGTTTTTACTTTACGGGAATGCTTCAGGTTTTAAAGTATATGTGAGGAAACTTTTCAACTCGAAGTATTAGGATTATTTGCTTGGGCAAGGTCCGTATATAGATCTGATTGCAAGAACCTGACATAAGCATCTTGTTCCATGAGCCCTTGGATTCTTCTTTGAGCTGAATCAAAAGCATGCCTGTCTGGATTCTGGAGGTGGTCATGTATCAAGGAACGCATTGATGAATCTAGGTTTACCTGCAAAAGGAAAAAAAAATTCAACTTAGTTCATAAATTACGCACATCAGATGTTGATAATTATACATATCATACATTATTTTACTACAATAGAAGTCTAAATTACTTATACGTAAAATACTGACTCCCAATTGATTCCAATAATTCATCGCAGTAATTAAAAAGACTTTTCTAATGCAGTACAAAGTCCGTAATCCGGACGTCCATTAACCGGAATGATCTATAATCCGGGCCTCAAAGCCACAAACTTTTTTGTATGCTTTACGTATGCGCGTAATGCGTTTAATGTATAATGGACGGTATAAGCTAGGCTAAAATTATCTTGACTGATTCTAAGGCATTTCAGTTAATGTTGCAGATTGGGCTGTTCCTTAATCTTCTAATGGGATCCGGCTTTTTATTTTTTTGCAGACTGTTACAGCAATTTTATAAAAATTAAGCTTGAACTTTCGATTATGTCAAAAAGAGTTTCCAATTCTGGAGCTGCCGAAGGATCGACAAAGCGAAAGCATGTTTCGATGTACCGCTTCCGATAGTGAAGAAAGTGACAGAGAGGTTATTGAAAACGAAAAAATTTCGATTGACAAATTAGTCGATATTCTCGACACAGCAATTGCAGGACTTGAACAGTGGAACTATGTAACTGAACAAGCAATAATGTCTGTTTATAGAATTAAAGAGAAAGTATTAGCACAAAAAACGTAGCAACTTACATTGAAAGAAATGTTTAATAAAGTAAACAAATAAATATTAAGCCTTTTTTTTTGTAAATTTTGATACTCTTTAGATCATAATTGCTCTTTATTTTATAAATTACGCTTTCATATTTTTAATTGTATAGTTTCTGCATGCCATCTTACCAGATTTAAATTGATGATCTACAATCCGGACAAAACCCTAATCTGGAATCGCCGAAGTCCCGACGAGTCCGGATTACGGACTTTGTACCGTAATAAATATATATATTTAATATTGGAATTTAATTATTATCTCCTAGAAACAGTATTTGAATATTACAATAACTTAAATAAATTAATGAAACTCAGAACAAAATTGTAGAAACGAAACAGTAATGTTGAAAAATGTTTTATAATACAAAATGTAAATACTATAATTATTCTTAATTTGCCAAAGAAGAATTGACTTTTCAAGGGGAAACAATTTTTCTTTAGCAGATGAACAATAATTTTAAGCATCTAAACGAGGCTACCTAATGCACAGAAAAATGAAACCCCCAAAATGATTCAGGTTTTTATAATTAGAAGATGATTTTTATTAAAATCGTCGTACCTCTTTGGGTGCTTGTACAGCTACAAAATCTTCATAAATTTTTCGAGCTTTTGAGCTGAGCTTGTTAGCTCTGGAGCGCTTGTATTCCTCACAAGCTAACCAAAATTCAATATTTTCTTCACTGAATTCGCGAGACAGAAATGCACGAAATAATGACAGTCCATCTGAAAGAGAAGAAAGAAAAACAATAAGAAAAACTGCCAATGAAAATTGCCCTTAGGTTTGTTTCAATTAGCAGAAGAAAAAAAAACGTCACTATTTACAGAAAAGTATTTCATAAATTTATTATCAATAGCTTATTCAATAAAGCAAAAAGATTCTAAGCAAACGAAAAGCAAACTTGTTTAAAAGCAAAACTAAATTTCAAAGAATTAGAAAGAATTCACAAATAACAAAGTATTTCTTATACCTGTTATTTATGTAGCTTTGGAAATAACTAGAATTTTTTATTTAAAAAATATTGGAAATTTTAGTTCGATCAACCAGCATTTAAACAAAATCGCAGAGGAAATTTTTAAATTTTCTTTTTCTACCTAAATCTCTCAGTGTTACTCACTGACAAGCTTCAATGACGTATCCACTGGCAAGCTTCAATTACAAGACATACATAAACCATCTATCTACTTTGGAAATTTCGAATTAAAAGCTCTCACACATTAAGAGTTTTGGAAAGAAAATAACATTTTAAAAAATTACAAGATTCCATTACAACAAATCAGAAGATTACGAAATGTTTACGTGCATGCATTATGGATTAATAAATAAACCGTCCGAAAAGTAACCGCGAATGGTAATTGAAGCTTTGGATGCTATGTCTGGAGACGTAAAAGCTTAGCGTTTTTTAGGAGATAGCATTAAAATTACCCAAAAAGTATACAATGTGCTTAAAAAAAAGAAAAATATCTGAAAGGTTCCAGATTTTAACAATCGCCCAAAAGGGTTTGTTAAGGTTTTTTACGCTCTCGCCGCTGAGTTCGCAGCCTACTAGCCTCTGCTGTTTCACTCCTACTAATCCATCTTTTTAGCTTTACTATTAAGCATAATTTTCGTTGCATTTACGCCATATAAAACTCAACAGCAAAATTTCAAAAATTTTAAAATCAGCATAGCAATATACGTTTAGATTTCCCGATGCAGCGTTAAGCATTGGCATACGTTTTTCAATGTTTTCTCAGTTCATCATATCATGTTAAATTTTCTTACTAAGGTGGCTTTACAAAACTTTTTTTGCCTTTTTTTATTAACGTTTTTTGTGTTTACTTAATTTATTAAACATCACATTCTCGGGCGCTTACGCCCCAGTAAAATTCGATTCAATGGCAAAATCACAAAATATTTAAAAGAAGCATATCTTTAGAGTTTCTGACAAACAGTCTCGTGCGTTGGAGATAAAAATGGTTTATTCCGTACAGTGTTGCCACCGCTTGCTTTGGAATCTTTGAGTTTGTTAATCAAAAATTCGTTAAAAGTTTTACAGAGTATGGAATAGATAATAAAACAAATTCGAAATTTAAAATTCGGGCTTCCAAATGTCCACGTCTGGGGTGAAGGGCCACGTTATTCAAAACTGAATGGCTCTGGGTACCGTTGTTTTTTCGCAATGGGAGAAACATACCCACATTCAAGCAGATTGTTCATTATTTAATTGCTGTAAATATAATGGAGAGCGATAATATTTGGTGGCAACAATCTGAAAAGTGATGCAATGCATTTAAGTGTTTCAACGCAAAATGCCGTTTCGAGATTAATATCCCATTTGGAACTAACGTCTCTTTCGGGCTAAAAAGGTAATTTTTTCCCTTACACATTAATCATAAACACGTAATAATATTGAGTTTCTTAAAATAACTTTTGTAAAATCTATTTCAATATTATAGGTGAAAGAGTTTTGTAAATATAAAACATAATTTTATAGTTTCCCTGGAGAAAGGAATTTTTGCTTTATTATTGTTTGAGTTAATTTAAAAGAAAAAATTCCAAGCGCGTAAAATTTGCAGATGTAATACCCAAGGCAGAGCCATTGACTGTAGAAAGCACATGCACTTGTTTTTTGTTTAGTACATTTCCCTACATTTATTCTCATTATACATTTATTCTTTATTTTAGGCGCTGAAAATGATTTTAAAGTTTACTTTCAAATATCGCTGCAAATTTTAAATGTGAAATTGTAAAACTACTGGTTCTTAAATAATTAAAAAGCATAATAATTATCTAATTAAAATGGAATATTTTACTCTACGTGAAGTATATAAAAATATTTTATTTTTACAGAATTCTCTCACAAGCGACGTTGAAATTATTTTCAATTCATTATGTTTGTTTCACTGTTGATTTTGTTTTCATTTTTTTCTGATTAAAAAGAGAAAAAAATCTTAAAATTTTGAAAGCATAATTAATGTTGTATTTTTATATGTAACATTTGTTTAAAAGTTAAATGCGCAGCATGTCGATCTTTTAAACGTTCGAAAAACGAAATATAACATTTATTAAAAAAATCATACCATCAGAATTTAACTAATAAATCACAGTTCTAATAACATATCAGAATTTCCAGGCTGAAAGCTTTAACTTATAAGTACAACTTCAGTAGCATTAAATTAAAATAATATCGCAAAGAAAAAAATACAGATTTATTTCTAAGATAATCATTTCCGTGGTTTTAAATGCAATATGAAAGAAGACTGGCTTTCATTAATCACCCTTTTCTAAAAATAATTTACAAAATAAAATTTAAAAACGAGAGGGGGAAGAAAGAAAATTAAGCATATAAATATATTAAAAAATAACGAACAGTAAGTGGAAACAAAAAAACTCCAATGAATCTTAATTATGAAATAAAAATTCTAAAACCTAAAAGAAGATATCATTAGATTTCTTAAGAAAGAAGAGAATATCGTAAAAAAAATCAGAAAAAAGTAAAAGAAGCTCATAAAAATTAATTAAAGATTTTCTAGAACTGGAAAAAACGAAGATGCGGAAAAAATAATATTTTCTTACATTTACTATTCGTCAATTCTTGAAATGATTCTGCCCACTTGAGAGCTTCCTCAGGGGAAGGTCTTACAGAAGGCTGTAATGAACTATCTGTATGCCTCCTGCGGAGAAAACTCAAGCGCATTTTCATATCTTGCGCCCTGGAAAAGAATAAACTGAGTTAAACAAATTTAATATAGTAATAATTCAGAAAAATAGTACGACTGTCGTTTTTTTTTCTGAAAAATATGAGCAAGAAACAAAAACAAAAAAAAACAAAAACAAAAAAAAAAAATTATTATCAGTATAGAAATAACGTAAAGGCCGCCCAACCGTGTAATGGTTAGCGTCGCTGATTGCTGTGCCGAAGAGTCCGGGCTCGAATCCCAAAGAAGGCATGGATGTTTGTAAAAGAATAGCATCTGTAGAGCATGGGGCCACTCTAAATATGCGACGAGCCGAAAGTCCTCTCAAGAGGTTGATGGTAGGGAAAGAGTGGTTGGAGACACTCGGACCCATCCTTCCCCCGGGGTGCTCTCCATTAAAATTGCGACGGAACTGAGTTAAATCGCACTGTCATCTGTAAGGTCCTGAAGACTGTTGCCAACGGCAGGCGTAAACTTCTGCTCCTTGTCACAAGAAATTTCCTGGGCTTGGGCTGACTACAGGTTAGACAAGTGAGCATTAGCTACAGCAACAACAATAACGTAAAGCCAAGCAAATAAAATGCGCATGTCCCACAAGTGATTGAATAATAAGAAACACATATTTTTTAATATCTGTAATACAAATATCAAGAAATATCAACCAGAAATGCGTAATGCCCCCCCCACCAGTGTTGAGCGGCCAAAGTGGGGCTGGCTGCAAAAGAGTGTAAGGTATATTTTAATTTTATAACAGTTATTTTAATTTTGAAATCATTTTCTATCAGTCCCCTTACAACTCCCTACCAGAATGAGTTTCATTAGATAGTCACTTCATTAGATAAGTCACTGAATATCAGTAACATATACAAATTTTCTGAATTATTCATTAAATAATAGTGAACACTGGTGATTAGGCCTGAGTTTCAAATCCGACGAACGGGCTGGCTGCATGGGCGTTTTTATGGTTTTCGCCATGCGTAACGTGTATACGAGCCAGAAATATAACATTAATTAAATATTTCCTTTGAAAGTCCTCCAAGAAAGCATCCCTCCCCTTAGGCAGATAGCCCTAAAGGCTTTGCCGTAATAATATAAACCTAAAACAGTAAAAACCTAACGATAAAGCTATAAAACAGTAAACAGTAAACAGTATAAAACTAACCAAAACACAAAACAGTAAAAAGAGTTCCTTTTTAAATAAAACAAAGAAATTCGTCAATAAAATGTCCTTTTTTAATATTTTTACCCCATAAATTTGAAATTAAAAGCTTAGTACAGTCGGTGATAGTTATATGAAAAATAATAGCTTTTGTTTTTTCTCAATTATTTTGACAACCTTCATCAAGTACCTAAGTACCTTTTGTCAATGTTATCTGGAAAAATTTGCCAGCCATCATACAAGGAAATCCTTAATAAGTAAATATGTATGGCGATTTTTTCCTCCTCATTCCGCCATTCAAAGTGCAAAAAAATATAATCTCCTATAATTATGCTTTAAAAGATCTTCGGTAACTTAAGATGAAATAAGAAAAGCTTCCCAGGGACCTCATACAGCATGTTTTTCCTTCTTTTAACATTGATTACGAACTCGTAAAATGAAATACTATACAGGAAGTTAGAAAAATCTCTTCACTTACAATGTTTTTCTGCTTCTTTTTTGCTTTTCGTCGCCATCTTCCCGACTGCATGGAGCCGAATCTGCCGACTTCGTTTTTGTGACAGGCTGTGGAAGAAAAAAAAAGTAGATTTCAGTACAAAAAGCTACTTTAAGCACAGTTATTTACGTTGATAGCTTTTGGAAAAAAAATTGCAATTATTAAGCAAGTGACAAATTACTCCTCAAAGCGGAAATGGCACTGAATTTTCTAGGGATCCAGTTTGTGAACCAGACCTTAATTAGTAGATCCTTCGTAAGTAATAACGCTGTTAAGATCAATGCATGTAATTTTTCATAGGAAGGGGGAGGAGAAAACCCTTCCCAAATTCCTCTTTAAAAGTTACCATTTTCATTAAAATAGTGTCCCATATCCTCCGATAATATGTTGCAATCGCTGTTATGTGAAAATATAATTACGGGAGATGAAAAATGGATAGTGTAAAACAATGTTACAACTCGCAGTGCGAGGCAACTCTGTCCTGGCTACTTGGCTTCTCAGATTTGCACCACCCCACACAAAATTCAATCAACCATGTTGCGACCTCACAGAGCAAGTGCAGACAAGGCTGTACTAGTACGGTCCCTGCCGAACCTTACTCTGTCTCGAGAGCCCTCAGGCCTTCTGTGAAGTCTTGTTTTAATACCCCCGTGGTTGAGACTGCCTAGGTACAGATCCTAACCAGTACTTCCCAGGCATTCGCCTGAGTCAACCCCCGGGGGGGGGAAACAATGTTACAGGAAAAATATCATGGAAGACGGCAAAAGAACTTCCTTTAGTAACATCGAGATGGGGGCGGCATCCCAACAATGTAATATAAGGTCGTTCAAATGAAAGTGGCTCTACAGTCTGTTTGAGAAATGGTTTAATGATATTAATATAAATTAGTATACAAAAGAAAGAAGTACTACAGGCGTAACAGAGAGGCTAGACAAAGTCACCTTGTAGGTTGAAACAAGTATCCCAGCGGTCAATGAGATGATGGATACGCTGGACGAAGAAGCTCCGGGGTTGTTTGTGGAACTAATTTTAGACGGCAGCATGAACCTCATTATCATCGGCATATCGCCGTCCCTTCCAGAGATTTTTTTTTGAGTAGACCGAAGATGAGGTAGTCACACGGCGAGAGGTCCGGGTTATAAGGGGGATGTTTGAGAACCTCCCGCGGAATTGCCATAACAACGTTTGGCACGCCACAGCCACATGAGGATGAGCATTATCATGCAGAAAGATAACCCCGCTTTATAGCAGTGTCACGTCGGAGGATCTTGATATTCTGTCTCAGTTTTTACAATGTGGCACGGTACGTGGCAGATACAGTCGTGCCCGTACGTAACCATTCCAACAGTAGTGGGCCATCGACGTCACAGAAGCACGTTAACATGACTTAACCAGCTCTAGTGGACGTGCGGATGAAGAGTGTCGTCATTCAATGCTTTTGGTGGTTGGATCAAAATGATGGCACCACGGTTCATCAATGGTCCTTGAAAAGATTTGGTTCCCCATTTCGTGGTATCGCATAAGATGTCTCATGGAAACAGACATATGATTAATCTTTGAGACACAGTGAAATGATGTCCAAGTAGCAACAGAGTTACAGGCTAAAAGTACGTATTTATCCAATATGGCAGTCTGTTAGAGAAAGGTTTTGGCTTACGTTACAAAGGTCTCAATTCTCAGAGTTTCGGTCTCCAATTAACTACGCCATCAGCGTTACGCAAGCTTTGTGGCATAGATTAATCTAGAAATGCCGCGGTCCAGAAGTGTCGTTATTTTTAGAACAGAGAAGCGAAACACCCGAATTAAAATTGAAGAATTAAGAAGAATTAAAATTGAAGAATTTGTTGTTTGACTTCTGATTTAGAATTAAGAAGCTATTAATAAATTAAATTATAAAGCTGATTTAAATATTTTTTTATCATATATCCAACTAAATACGTTAAATGGGAATTTGTGTTAGTATTAAATAAAAGTTTTCAGATTAAGCACAAACGTAGTTTCTCCTAACGAACGGTCATGCTTATTTTCATAGCGAAGGATTTAATACGCATAGCAACAGTTTAATATTCTTCCCTTTAGAATTATACAACAGTTTAATATTCATTTTAAAAGAACAAGAGTTCTTATTAAAGGAATTTAGCTTATTATCAACTCTTTTTGAAACATATTGTTGTTATTTTAAGAATATGTAAGAGAACAGAAAGAAGATGGAACATTTTTTTCCTCTAATATGCATAGAAGGAATTTCTTTAATGAGCGCAACATTTCGAAATCTTTACACCACCCACACGGAAGCAAAACCTACCAGACAACGTCCCCGTTAATAACACATATCTGAAAATATATTTCCTCTTTACAGTGCATCTATTTAATTATTGATTCAAATCTTGTTCCTATTTGTTAAATGCATGTCTTAGATGCCCTGAATACGTCACAACGTATTCTTTGAGACATTTTCTAATGCCATTTCTGACATATAACGAAGGCAAAAACTTTATGATTAGTTTTAATCCCACGAAAATTAAAAATTGCGTAATAAATTAGAATTCCTTCACTTCTTTAATTAAAATTTCTCAAAAGAAAATAAAACTTATCACTTTAGGAAGGTTTATGATAATGGAATGGATGTTTATTTTATATAAATATGCAAAGTATTAAAAAGACTGCAGAGTGAGTATTGTTTGGAAGACTCATTGTAGATTAATTAGGAAACAAATTCGAATGCATCAATTTTTATTTTTGTCTTATTTTTTTATTTAAGTCAAAAATACGTCAGAATTGATATAAAATAAAACAGGAAAATTACTAAAACAAATCTAAACTAAGTTTCTATTCCAATTTTTGAAAAAAATATTATTGTTACCAAATGGCTACATTACGAGAAAAAATATGGTAGGCAAATTTATAATAACCATTTTATGTAAGAATGCATACCATATAAACTTGTTCAAACAATTTAAAAATTTTGAATACATCAAAATTAACAATAAAAACGAAATCAAAAAATTCGTAAACACAAACGATGTTCACACCCACAATCAACTCACAATAATGACCTTTACACTGTTAGTAGTACCACCACACTGCAATTTTCAAAACTATATACATAAATAATATATATTCAATTGGTCACACTATGCAGTAAGTTATTTGTGTTTTGATTTGATTTACATGCCTAAATACGAGTATATTGTCAAATGCCAACTACATGCATTTAAAGGTTAATTCTGATAGATAGCAATAAAATTTAGGTAAATATGTATTTTGCAAATGTATTTTGTATTTTGCAAATTGCATACAGGAACGCATTTATTTTGCTGTATGTTTTGAAAACAATAAACAACACACAGCCGAAAAAACACGTATCCGGAAAAGCATCACCGATAAAAGTTTAGTACAGAAAGATATTCCAAACCGATTTCTCGTGAATAATATATTTCAGAATTTGAAATTCTGAACATTAGTCTGAAAGCACGGTTGCCCCGTACATGAACTCAAAGGCACGTACCAAAAGAAAAAAGAAAAATAGGGAAGAACGTTGTTCTATATATGCCCTTTATTTTCCGGTTATTTTTCTTTTGATATGAAAACAAAACAATAAAAGAGGCTCGTTTAATTCAAGAAAAACATATTCAGCAGTATCGATCTTTACTATTTTTGGAAGGAAAGAACATTCTTCTTATCGTCGAATGCATATTTTTCTTCCATAGTTTCCGGTATTTTCTTTGCCATCCATCTACACTTCTATCTAGTACATTTAATTGGAAATAGCTTAACATATTTTCGCTTAGTTAAAGTTTTGTTACTTTCTCTTTCGCTTTTAATTAAATATAATGAAAAATGGAACATGGTAATGTAATTAAAAATGGAAGCGTTTTTTAAAGACGACAGTTGCCAATTTCCCAGTTTCAGATTAGAAGAATATTACATATGGTATGTAACACAAACTTTTAAGAACTAATATTTAATTAACAAAATAAAAATTAATTAAGCGTAGAAGAACCAATTTTCAATTACAAATTTTTCCGAATTCGCAGCGCAGCGATTCCTCATTTCATGAATTTAAATTTTAGCATTCTACGAACTGAAGTCAAAGAATTTGTAGTGATTATTTAAATTTTCTAATAGTTATTTTTTATTTTGAAACCCTTTTAAATTCTTCTTTTACACCTACAATTCCCTGTCAGAATGAGATTTCAGTATCGCGTTTTATGTAAATAAAGTAAAACCAGTATTTAATGGGAAGTTCAGTTACTTCCATAGAACATCACAGAAGTTCTCGGTAAAGCGTGTTCTGTCTTCGGCCTACGTCGTTGCTTTAAGCTATATTAATACGTTCGGTCGTAGTCTTACGTGCCTGTTATTATTTGGCGGTGAGGTTTAACTACGGGCCAATACGGTTAGTTTGCACAGCTTCGGCTAAAGTTTAGCAGTTAGAATTAATTTAGTTCCTTATTTTCTATCTTAAGTTAGAGCCCAAGTGGAGGCTAAGCCCAAGTAGGGGCCGTCTGTGAGCGTTTCTTTGAACTGGAATTAATATTTTATAGTGGCAAGAAGACCAGCAAATAGTCACTAGACACTTCACTAAAGTTCTGGTGGACAAGGAACACATAAATTAATTAGGTCTCTCTCTCTCTCTCTATATATATATATATCTGAAAGCTTTTTAAATCTTGCATTACGACCAAAAGGGACGTTTTCTTAACATTTTGTATGTTACATTTATTTATTAAATATCACGTTCTTCGCACTTAAACCACAAAATTCAGTTCAACAGCAATAGTGCAAAATATTTAAAAGAGCATATCTTTAGAATTTCCGATACAGTCTCGCGCTCTGGAGGAAAAAAACCGTACAGTGTTGCCATTGCTCGCTTTGCAATATCTGAGTTTGTTAATCAAAAATTCGTTAAAGTGTTACAAAATATGAAATCGCTAATAAAACAAATTTCAAATTAGGAATTCCAGATGTCCATATTCGATGCCCACAATGCAATATACATACATTTTATGCTGATTCTTCATTGTTTAATTTTTTAAATATAATACAGGGCTCTAATATTGGGTGG